GGCGGGACGAGTACCGGCGGAGGTCCTCGGAGATCCTGAAGAGTTCCCGGAAAAACAGGCCAACTCGTTCGGCCCCGGCCGCAGAGGCGCCCGACACGCCGTCCTTGATGAAAACTTCCAGGACGCGAATGAAGGTGTCGAGATGCACGTCGAACGTGCGTGTCACCGCCGCTACCCCCGGGGAGCGTGGCGGCGAGAACGCCGCGATGTCGATGGCGCTGAAGGTAAGCAGCGCGTGCAGGCCCGGGTGCGGGTGGGCCACGTCCTGGATGATGTGGTCGAACTCGCCCCCCGTCATGACGATAGGCGAGAACGTAGCGCCTCGCATTAGGTACAGGGCGGCTTGGCCGTCCTTTTCTCACGTGCGTCCCTCCAGCTTTTGGGCTTCATTCAGCCGATGGGCATTGTATACAGGCGCGGCCCCCGGGATGCTCGCGAGCTGTTGGTATCCCTGGGGCGCGGCCGACTGGTGGTAGTGCTGGCTGGGGTAGGCCTGGAGTTGTTGGTGTTGATACTGTTGTTGCAGCGGTAGCGGCTGCGGCGGCTGCTGCTGCTGGTGAGGTTGTTCCTGCTGCTGCTGCTGCGGCGGCGCTTGGCCCAGGGGGAGGACTACTGACTGGCTATTGTGGGGGGCGGAGCCGCCCTGGGCATGGTTGTGGGCCGCGGCGCCCTGCGCGGGCTGCCGGTTGCCGGTCAAGTTTACCACCACCTCCTGGAGAGACCGGATCTGTTGTTGCTGGCGATTGCCCTGATTCACGAGCTGTTGAAGCAGCGAGAAGAGGTTCGGATTGCTCCCGACTCCCTGTTGATGCTGCTGCTGCTGCTGTTGCATCAGCTGAGGTTGGGGGGCTCCGTGAATCATGGGCGGCGGCGGAATAGCTACCGCCGGACCAGCGGCGTTTGGTTGCTGCGGTTGGCCATGCTGGTGTCCCTGCTGCTGCTGCTGCTGCTGCTGCTGCTGCTGTTGCGCCTGACCCTGCTGTTGCTACTGTTGCTGCTGCTGCTGCTGCTGTTGTTGTTGCTGCTGCTGCCTGTTTTGGTCGTCCCCGCCACCGGCAGCCGAGTTTGGAGGACTGCCGCCCCCCGAATTGCCTTGTATGGCCGCCGCGGCGCCCGCCGCGGCGCTCGCGCCCGCTGGTTGCCCATCATTGCCGTCCATCCCAAAATCGATCAAATCCTAGGCGGCACTCCGTGTTTGCTGCTCCTCAAAGCTGCTATCTCTGCTACTCCTCTCCTTCTCTCAAATGCACTTGCTTGTCTCTCGCCCAGCGAGAGCACAAAAACTTTCTGACACCAGGGCTGTCTCTATTTATCTTCGATCCCCGCTTTTCCGAATTCCAACACGCCTCCACAAACCACAGATTCCAACACGTACCTGGATCTTCTCGGCTGCTGAAGTACACCGGCAAAGAGCCACCGCAAAACTTTTCTGGTCTTGTACGCAGATCGATCGGAAGATCCGATATTTTTCGGCAAACTTTTTGCGCGACGCACCAAGCACCACAGACCGCCATGTAGACTACTCCCGTAAAAGTGCAGCAGAACGCCTTTCCGGTACTCCTCGTCTGGGAAGACTTCTCTGCTGTCGGGAAAACGGGCTTTACGCTCGGTGCGGTACCTGATATTTCCTTTTGGTCATTTTGTTTGTTTTTTATTTTCTTAATATCACACAACAAATCCATCTCTATCTATAGAAATACGTCTAAGATAGATCAGCGATGAACCCATAGCGTGAGCGAAAGGCTACCTGTATGTCTACGGTTCCCAGACAGCATACAACGATAATTCCCCTGTGGGTAACAGGCTCAACAAGGCAGTTTGGTAGCCATCTTGTGTATCAATCTGAATGTGTTGGGAAGTTGTAGACGGAAGATTTAGGGGAACTCGGTTGTCGGGTGTTCTGTTGTAGCACCTTGTTTTCTTTTTCCGATTGGTTTTTTGTACCCTCACCCGGGTTGCACGCGGTGGAAAAAGCAAAAAAAAAGGCCCCACGGGGCTCCGTACATGGTAGCTCAGCAGACACGGTACCCGGGAAGGGGCCAGCACAAAAAAAC